CTCTCCGTCATTGTATATTTTATAATCCAGGTCTCCCCAATCTTTTTATCGCAGCCGACTGGTGAAAGTTTAATAATTTTACCGCGGCCCGCCGAAGATGGGATGTTGATTGCTTACATATTAAATTATTTTGATTTTATTGTATTTAAGTATGCTTTCAGAATAAAATACAATTACACCAAAAAATGAATATAAAGCGATTTATCATGGAATATAAAGTGATTTAACCTGGAATATAAAGTGATTTCCATGTAAAGTTGCAAAAAACCTAGAACAGGGTGACCTTTATGGATCAACGTACAATTTCTTACCATTTTTTGCAAAAATGTTTAATGAGGTATAAACGTGTCCAGGTATTGACTTTTTACTATTGGAAAATTATAAAACTAAATACTAACAATTCAAAACTCTTTATTTACTATGAAAAATTACATTTTGCACTGTGTAGTAGTAACTTTTTTAGTCACACGTGTAATTCAAATTAAAATAACATTAGAGTAGGACTTCTGATGTAGCAGATTCAGTGGCGCACACAAGGGGGAAGTCCTGGGGTCTGGACCCCCGCCCCAAAGCCCTTGATTTTTTCCGATTGATTATAATTCTAAGTATATAGTACGTAAAATTTAATTACTTGTTATTAATGATTAATTTATTAATTAATGCTAATTATTTATTCAAAAATTAGTTTTTTACTGTGTTTTGTTCCCGAAAATCGACAAAATCAAAAGGAGCATGATACAAGAATAGTGAACTTTCGACCCCGAATTCCCCCTCCCCTTGAAAAATTCCTGTGTGCGCTACTGAGCAGATTAGATAACAAATAACTTATATTAGGACTGTAAGATGCTACGTTTTAAAGAATGCATGATGAATTGAAGTTATCTGCCAAACGATTTCAAAGGGAGCCTTTTTTATGTTTTTCATCTCAGTAAATAATAATTTGCAGGCATTGACAGATAAAAATATGGTTGAAATAGCATGATACAACTTCTTCAAAAAGTTAAATGTGTCTGGAATCGATTTCCATGTTTTCAAAATTTCATTATTAGCATTTTTACCTATACACTGCTTTGTTAATCTTTCTGTTTCAATCAATTCCAACTTTTCCCTTGCTTCAATTAATTTTTGAATCCATAATTGAACTTGACTGGAAATCCATCTCTCAGTTGCATTTCAAATTTTTTCAATTTTAAACCAATCGAATTGGGATAAATTCAGTTTAACAAATGAAGGGGGTACATAATACACTTGAGCGTTAAGAGAAAATCTCGCTGAAAATTGTGACCGATCACTCGCTTTTGTTCGTAATAACTTCATAGTGAACATTTTTGTTTTGAAGTAAAATGCTAACCGTTTTGATCGGTTGGATGGCCAAAATATTATGTCGCGGGCCACTGGTTCACCATCACTGCCCTAGAGAAATATTTCACAGTACATAAAATGGAAATAATTTAATGTTCCCCTTGGGTGGTACCATTTGATCCGTGGACCGGGGGCTGGGGGCTAAGTTCAAGGTCTAGAACTACTGAAAATCCATCGTGTAAAGGGGATGATGCACGTTAAGCTTTCCGTGGCTCAAAGACCTCACGTTGGTGGAGTGAGGAAGTGACAAGAATGGGGTGCTAGCTCATGTGTCGTCCACGTCACTTGACCATCGTTCATAATTGCGAGCTCCGTCACCAAAAAGCCTCGTGTTGTTTTAGAATGCGACGGTGATATACACTTACTCACTCAATAATTTAACTGCAATTAATTGTTAAGTAATGTAATGTTTTCTTTCAAATTTTAATCTAGGATGTCTGTAAATAAAATGAATGGAATATATCATTTTTATATTCTGACGAATAACTTGATACATGCTGGCTACATTCATTATAATCGCAAATTATTTTTAAAAACTCTAATTACAATGCATCTACACAAAAAGAAAAAAGGGAAAAAGATATTAGAATACGTAATTTCTATTTTTTAAGAACGCGTTGATCTTGGTACTAATCCTATTCAAAAGAATATCCCCCCTCGAGAATAAAATCTCCCCCCCTCCTTCCTCTTTAAGTTTTTAATTAATTCCCCTTCACGTTTGAAAAAAAAACATTTTCTGGTTTTTTATACATTTGTTCGAGATATATATTCCTAGTTTATTTAAAGTAATGCAATTACAAAGTGGCGTAACTGGAGAACATTAGTTCTTCCCCCTGCAAAGTTAGGTTTTGGGCCCCAATCCGGATCTTATAAAAGATTGCAAGTCCATAACCCTTTTGCCCTCTAGAATTCTGTCAGCCTCCCTCCCCCGGTATGAATTATGCCACTGAATTAATGCATAAGTTCTAATCTTAGCAAATATTAATCTAATTTGCCTCATACAAACCTGTGATATAATAATTTTATTAATCTGACAAAAGTTGAAATTAACAACTTCTTTCAAATTCAAGAAGGAGCGAATTTAATTAATGTTATACGTGAGTGATGTTTGCATAACTTCTGGATCACTATTTAATCCGATGTACTTTTATTCAATTTGTTATAATTTTGCATAAAAAATAAATACGGTTGCTTTATAAAAAAGCCTTTAATTTTTTCAATTACTACTATTAGTTCACTCTTTTCCTATATATATATATATCATGTTCAAATTTTCAATCGTTAATAAAATAGTTTTTATTCATCCACTCAAGTTCTTCAAATACATTTTTTTTTTAAAATTTGTAGTGGATAACACTTGATGTTAGTACAGTTTTTTCAAATATTAATTCATTAATTAAACTTACTTAATCAATAAATAGTAACAAACAAAAAGAACAGTTGAACAGCATATATAAAAAGGGAAAACCCTCGTTGTGTCCTTGTAAGCGCAATGGAAAGCGCGTTCGACTTCTAAACCAAAGGTCGTGGGTTCGAATTCTACCTGGGATGGCCTTATTTCTTAGAATGTAATTTCTGAATGAATGAATAGTAACAAAAAAAAGTAATAGTCCAACACCATATATATAAAGGAAAATCACTTTCTATTTTGCCACTTAATATAGTGATTCTGTCATATGTGTATACATATTTATATTAATTGTAATTATTGAACAAAAAGTAACTAAAATACATAATTTTTGTTTGTTGACCTAAGTAGGAATTGACTTTTTTTCTTCATATTACTTATTTCATCAATAGTCATATGAATACATGCATGTTTCATGGCAGTTAATTTGATTGAATTATGGACGTCCAAATACAGCAGAATAGACTATTAAAATGTGAATAACAATTGTTCAATAAATAAGAACTTTCATTGTTTCAGGATCAAGGTCTTAAGGTCTATTGCCTAAAAGAATAATACAGTGACAAATCGCGTAAGTTATAAAATCCTCTAAAGGTTACATATGTATAATAAATTCACGGCCCGTGGGCCGCATGTGGCCTGGCCAGTATATCGGCACACAATAACATATAATAAAGTATCAAAATTTCTATCGAAAGTGGACAGCAGCAAAGAAGAGATGTCAAGTGTCAGGACGTAAACATTAAATTTTCTTGTTCTTTTATTTATGTTTATTTTTATATGCATTATTCCAAATAAACTTACGTTTCTATGAATATTGATTTTTTGCGGCTAACCTAAAGTTAAACCTTGTTTGTTTGGCTCAAGTTAGCTTCTGAATTTGACACCTTTGGCATAAGGTACAGGTTTCGTCCTGTACGAAGTGCATTAATAATACTTCTCAAATTTGGAAGGAAATTTATAATCAAGAACTAGTGAAAGTTTTTTTTGTTTCAGTAGAATTTCGGAAGACCCGAATTAAGGTAGAAAAAAATTCGCAATTAAGATGGAGATTTGAAACAGTGATAATTACGCCACATTAATCGCTGGAAATTTAATTATAATAAATAAAACTAATTACATAATGAACTAGGAAAAAACGATGTTAAAAGAAAAATTACCTGATAACCATATGAAGAATACATGGAAAATAAGCAAATAAAGTAATCAGCAAATTGAAAACATATATTAAAAAAAGAAAAGAAAAGAGAGAAATATGAAAGGGACAAAATGTTCAGGAATAAAGAGAAAATTTACATCAAAGGGAAAGAGAGAAGAGATGTACTGTTGAAATTTTGCAACATGTTCTTGTGTTATGTAACTAAAAAAAACTGAACTCAGAGGCGCAACAGCCCATGAGGGCCGAGGCCTACTGGGTCCATCTCAGTTTTCGTAACCTTGTGCGCTGAGGTACATGAACAGATGTTCCGGTCAGGTGGGCAGTCTGACACGGAACTCCCAGTGTTTTCTTCCTAAGCAAGCTTCGTACTCATTTATCGACCCACTGAAGGGATGTACGGGTGGGTGGATGTTGCCCAGCTCGGGATTTGAACCCCGGACCTGTGGCGTGGAAACACAGCAAGCTACCACTCGTGTGTTATGTAACAGTCAGAAGATATTGTCGATCATGCGACGATATTTATTTAACATTTAATAAAAATTAAGGAAATGCAATAGTAATAACAGTTCAATAAAATATATCTTCGGATATTTATAAAATATATCATTTTTCCAGAAAACTATACATATAATTTTAAAACCTTTTTGTCTTTCGAATGATATGATGCTTTAGTACGAACTTCTTGGATTTTGCATCTAGTTTTTCATTTAAAAAAGAAAGAGATGAAATGAAAGCGAATTTTTTTCTTTCAATATTTAAGACAATTATTCTTATTATTTTAATACTAGATATGTAAAAAAGTTTACATTAAGTTTTTTAGTTTATGCAGTTCGTATTAAGTTTTTATAAATAACAAGTACTATAAAAAAAATTTTTTAAGCCAATTCCTACTTATGTCAACAGAGAAAAATTTTACCTTAGTTACTTTTTGTTAAATAATTACAATTAATATAAATATGCATATACATATAACAGAATCACAATATTAAGAGGGAAAATAAAAAGCGATTTTCCTTTCTATATATGGTGTTGGACTGTGTCATTCGTAAATTACATTATCAGAAATTAGACCATCCCAGGTAAAATTTGAACTCACGACCTTTGGATAAAAAGTTCAACGCGCTATCTATCCATTGCGCTACAGGGACACAACGCGCGATTTTCCTTTTTATGTATGGTGTTGGGCTATTATTTTTGTCACTTTTTATTCATTAATTAAGTTTAACTAATGAATTGATATTTGAAAAAACTGTATTAACGTCAAGTGCCATCCACTACAAGTTTTAAAAAAATGCATTTGAACTTGAATGTTTGAATAGAAAGTATTTTATAAACGATTGAAAATTTGAACAATATATACATACATATATATATATATATATATATATATATATATATATATATATATATATATATATATATATATATATATATATATATGTATATATATAGGGAGATTGTGAACAAATAGTAGGAATTGATAAATAAATATAGAGTTAAATAAGCTTAAGCATTTTAACAATATAGAGTCCAAGAGAGCAATAAAGCACAATTAATCATTCTCACAGAATAATTTTTAAACAACATATTCAATTTTCTAATCCTACGAGTTTTTACGCAAAAGACACAAGGCTAGCTATACTTAAATCCATATGGCTTTTGATTGACTAATTAAAACTTAAGCGAACTGGCACTTGAAAGTCAATTTCATTGAGTGAATACAAATTTATTCTACATTTTCCGCCTGCTACTTTTGGCCGTGACACAAGGTCCGCAAGCGACAGACAATACACCTCGAAATTCTGAACCACGGTCGACACCCTCAGGGCCGGCTCTACCAATTTTGTCGCCCCGGATAAAAATGGAAAATACCGCCCCTTTCTCCAAAACAAAAATATATATATATAATTAAAAAAGATAAATTGTTCACATAGATACACACTAATAAAGTTTGAATAATTCTTGCAAACAAAAAGGCAGCATAGTATTAATAATAAAATAATGTAATATATATCAGCTGCATGGTTCGGCGTTGCACGGGCTTTCTCTTTGCCTCATGACGCTAGCATTTCTGTGTGTGTACGCGAGCGATGTGAGTGATTTCTATAATTATGCCATTAATAATTATTTAGTTACAATAATTACTGATTCTAGCTGCATGTCCCGGCGTTCCACCGGCTTTCTCTTCCAGTAAAATATTCTTTTTCGGAATTTCTTTGCCTTATTTGCCCCGTTTCAGGGTTTCTGTGTAAAATGTAAAAGCAGGAATCACCCATTTCAGAAGTACAATTTCTTCGAAAAAGAGTCTTACTGACGGTGGGGATCCAGAGCGTTTATTTTAACTGATAGTAACTACACTCAAGGCTAAGATAAAGCCTCTTCTGTGGCTCTCTATCAAGCAAAAACTCTTATTAACCCTGTTCTTTGATAGCTGACACCGGACATCGAATGGGTGACAGGGATATCCGTTGTGACTCCGCTCCGGGATGGGGAGAAAGTTATTAGTGAAAGATGTGTAAACATATCAAATTAAAAGAACTAACCTATACTCCCACTTCGAACCCTTCACAAGTTTCAACATAAAATTAAACTGACTTTAAACATACAGAGTACAAAATAAGGAAATAAGATACGTTAAATGAAATACCAAATTAATACCCAAAAATATATCAAATTTATTGTGACAATTTCCTTTTTTTTTTTTCAAATTCTATTCAAATGCCGCCCTAGTCAGGGGTCCGGTTTGTCCGGTCCTAGAGCCGCCCCTGACAACCTGCACTTGCATGCACCCCCCTTATGCACCAATCCCAGTGCATGACGAATCATAGGTAAAAACATGACTCAAACGCGCGGCTCGGTTGAAATGACACCACCCTCGGCCAGTAGCGCACACAAGGGAGGGGGGAGTCTGGACCCCAAAAGCCCTTGATTTTTTCTGATTGATTATAATTCTAAGTATATAGTACATAAAATTTAATTAATTACTTGTTATTAATGATTAATTTTATTAATTAATGCTAATTATTTATTCAAAAATTAGTTTTTTACTATGTTTTGTTCCCCAAAATCGACTAAATCAAAAGGAGCATGATACAAAAATGGTGAACTTTCGACCCCGGACCCCCCTTGAAAAATTCCTGTGTGCGCTACTGCCCTCGGCTATCGCTTTATACACTCATGTCCATAAATTAAGGATAATCCAGAATCACACAGAATTGAACGCAAAAATAAAAATTTCACCTGTAGAATTATGACACACATCTTGAAGAAGAATATGCAAATTACAGGAAACCACCAGATGGCGCGGATAGTACGTCACAATGACGAGAGTGTAAGAGACGGGTATATAAGTTATGGCATAAAGGAAGCATTTGGATGATTTTTTACGTGGTAAAATTATTGGACGACTGGAATGTGGACGTACCTAGCTGCTGGAAGTATCCGAGGAACTTGGAATCGCCCAGAGTGTCATCTCCAGGCTTTGGCAACGATTCCAAGATGATGGTAATGTGAGTAGATGTTACAGCACAGGTCACCCCCGAGTTACAACGCCGAATGAAGACCGGTATATATATATATATTTGGCAGTTACTGCCAAAAGAAACAGACGGAGCACAGCATCACACCTGTCTCGTCAGCTCTCTTCAGCTACCGATACGACAGTTTCAAGGCAGACCGTGTACAGAAGCTTAGGGCACATTGGTCTATATGCTCGTATGCCTGTCAGATGTGTTCCACTTACCGCAACTCACTGTCGCCTGCGATTGACCTGGAGTAGAGAGCATGCATTGTGGACACCACAACAGAGGTCTTGTGTGATGTTTTCTCCGACGAGTCCAGGTTTAGTTTGCAGTCTGATTCTCGCCGTACTTTAATATGGAGAGCGCCAGGTACCCATTACTACCAAGAGAACACCATTGAACGCGACACCGTTACGGTGGTGCAGGGCGGCTCGTTTGGGGAGGAATTATTCTTGGTTCCAGAACTGACCTGCATGCTCAGAGTGTAACGATGACAGGCCACGTCTATCGGGATGTCATTCTGGAACAACATGTGCGTTTGTTTCGGGGCGCCATGGGTGCTGAATTTCTGTTTATGGATGACAACGCCCGTCCTCGCCGTGCAAACATTGTAGACGAATGCCTTCAATCGGAGGATATCATCCGTATGGATTGGCCAGCATACTCACCGGACTTGAATCCAATAGAGCATGTGTGGGATATGCTTGGCCGACGAATTGCAGCCCGTCAACCCCCTCCCACCTGTCTACCGGAACTTCGGATGGCATTGCTTCATGAGTGGTGTAATATTCCCCAAGATCAGATTGATAATTTGATACTCAGCATGCCTAGGCGTTGTAAGGCCTGTACTGCATCGTCCGGGAGACGTACTTCGTATTAACCATCATACTAACCACGTTATACTGTTTTTTGTAAATAGGTTCTTTTTGAAATTTGTTCCAGGGAGTAAAAATCGCAATTTTTATTAATTATGTCAAACATACATCTTTTTTGCTCTTTACCTTTTGTTTAATAAATAGACTTTACAAATAAGTCAAATTTGTTTTGCTCCTGTCTCTTTCTTTGCCTGAACTTCATTATGCTTAATTTATGGACATGAGTGTAAATCCGTTCAATTGAATTCCTTTTGTATCAAAAATGCCATTTGCTCAATATGTAAATACCGTAAAATTCGGCGGATAACGTGCGCTTTTAATTCACACACACACACACACACACACACACACAAACAAGTAATAAAAAAAATTAAGTCAATTCCTACTTAGGTCAACAAAGAAAAATTTTAATTTGGTCACTTTGTATTAAATATTTACAATTAAAATTAATATGCATATACATATGACAGAATCACAATATTATGTGACAAAATAGAAGGCGATTTTCTTTGCAATTTTCTTTTCTATATATGGCGTTGGACTATTTTTGTTTGTTTGTTTGTTACTATTTGTTCATGAAATAAATTTAATTATTTAATAAAAGAGTACAGTAAAAATGAAATCCCATTGTCAGAATTCAGGCCATCCCAGGTGGGATTCGAATCCACGACCTTAGGATGAATAGTCCAATGCGCTATCTATTGCGCGCTACAGGAGCACAACCAACGATTTTCCTTTCTATATATGCTGCTGGATTTATACTTTTGTTTGCTACTATTTAGTCAATTTTTAATTATATTAATGACTTAATATTTGAAAAAAAACAGTATTAACATCAAGCACCATCCACTTCAAGTTTTTAAAAAATATATTTGAACTTGAATGGATGAATAGAAAGTATATATTTTATTAGCGATTGAAAATCTGAACAAGATATATATAAATATATAAAGGGAGAAAGTTAACTAACAATAAGAATTGAAATATACGACATCGAAATTTACAGTTGCGCGTTATACGCCGGGTATAAAAATTATATTTCTAAAAATAAAAATAAAAAGACATAAGCATTAAAAATTAGACTTCTATATAAATCGAAATAATATTTATTTAAAAGAAAGGTCATACTTAATGAACTAAAATAAAGTTGTTCTAAAAATATATTATTTTTTCAAAAGCCTGTGGGGTGATACCTCGAATAACTCACTTCAAAACCTAAGAGCGTACGCACATTTCAGATTTCTTCGTAAAAAAGGGGATGCGCTTTGTATACGGCGAATATATCAACATCCCAATGCGTTGCATGGGGTTCGATTCCCAGATTCTATCCTTTTTTTAATTTTACTCTTTAATTTTCCTCGGAAAATTATTCCGACAGATCTCTTTTTTTATTTTAATGTTCCTCTACTATTTTTATTCACGATGGTATTTTTTAATAGCTTTTAAAAAAAGCTGTTTTCTGTTTTACTTTTCAACCATTTTTCGTGATCCTAGCTGCATTCCCATTGGTCGGTTGCGCCTCGCCCACCCTAGATCGAAATTCTAACTTCATTTTCGGTGCTCTGTGCCGACTTAGAAGCTTCTTTTCTCAATTTTAATGCATTCTAATATTTTAACTTTTAATTTTGCTAAAATCTCCAGTATTTTTATTATATATTTAAAGCATTTAATCTTTACAAAGGGCGAAAGTCACTCAAATACCTACTGATATGAGGTTGTAGCTCGAAAGAGCTGGGTACTCAAGTCATCCAC